GAGTACCCATCCATGAAGCAGTAGCATCCATCTCCAGCCATTTTCTCGAGAATTTGATCAATAAAGGGGAGTGGAAAATGGTCTTTCCTTGTTGCATCATTCGGCTTTCTATAATCAATGCACATTCTCCACCAAATGACTGTTCTTGTGGGGTTTACTTCATTGTCTTCATTCTTCACCATTGTCATGACCCCTTCTTAGGTACAACTTGGATTGGACTAATCCATCGGCTATCAGAGATCGAGGAAATCACTCCCGCATCTAGCAAATTGATGATCTCCTTGTGCACTAGCTCCTCCAAATTTTTGTTCAACTTGCATTGGGGATGCACCACTGGCTTGCTTTTTTCTTCTAACAGAATTTTGTACACGCAAATAGCTGGACTGATTCCTTGAATATCGGCTATACTCCAGCCAATGGCCTTCTTGTGCTTTTTCAGCATCTCCACCAGCTTTTGCTCTTGTTTACCTGTCAAGTCAGCAGAAATAATCATAGGAAAATTGTTAGTTTCAAGAAAAGCATGTTTCAAGTGAGTAGGGAGGACTTTTAATTCCACATTAGGCTTAGAAGCCTCCTCTTTTAGTTCCTGATCATCAACCACTTGATTCTCAATTTCAAGAGCTTCAGCCTCTTTCTTTAATTCAGGATCTTCATCCTCCATTGTGGTAGACTGAGTAATACACCTCTCTAGAGTGTCCCCCACAAGCTTGTCAAACTTGTATTTTTTAGCCAATTCACCAACAACGTCTAGCTTGAAGCACGAGTAGGCAGACGCCTCATCGCTGGGGTATTTCATCATCCTCTTCATCTGGAACACCACTTTTTCATTGCCCACTTTGAGCATAAGTTGCCCCTCATAGATATCGAGGATAGCTCTGCCTATACATAAAAATGGCCTCCCTAGAATTAGAGGCAATTCCTTGTTCACCTCCATATCCACCACAATAAAGTCTACGGGGAACACAAACTTATCCACCCGTACTAGAATATTCTCAATGATTCCCTCAGGCAAAATGGTGTTCTGGTCAGCCAGTTGTAGGGACACTGGTATTGATTTGATCACTCTAAGCTCACCTTCCAGCTTCCTGAATACAGACAGAGGCATGAGATTTATAAACGCACCAGAGTCATAGAGGGCCTTGTCGAATCTCTCACTCCCCAACGAGCATGATATGATGAAGCTTCCTGGGTCCCCATATTTTTGGGGAATTTTGTTTTGCAGTATGGCACTGCAGTGGGCATTCAACTTGACCACTGTTGTCTCCTCTAATTTTCTCCTGCTAGACAGGATTTTCTTCAAGGATTTTGCATAACCGGGCATCTAAGTGAGCACCTTTGTGAAAGGAATGTTCACGTAAAGTTGCTTGAGCATCTCCAAGAATCGCCCAAAACATTTGTCAAGTTTCTCCCGCTTCATCTTTTGAGGGAATGATAGAGCCGGCATATGTCTACTTTCTTTAATCTCTTTTTGTACCCCACTACTCTGGCCTTTCTGCTCTTCACTCTCTTTCTCTGCTGGTGTCTCGGTCTGCTTGTTCACCACCTCAGGTCTAGATTTCACCACTAGGTAAGTCAATGTTTTGCCACTTCTAAGAGATACAACTTTGATTGTTTCGTTAGGGTTCTTTTCAGTGTCAATGGGAAGAGCCCATGAGCCCTCTCAAATAACAAATTTGTAATTTGTCCTATTTGTCTTTCTAAATTCCCGATAGTCGTGCCCTGAGCCTAGAATTTTTCATCTGTTTTGTTGATGAACGCCTTCATGAGATCTTCCATACTAGACTGATTTGGCTGTTGTGGTTGGTATTGTTGCCTCTGTTGGTTCTGAAAACCTGGTGATCCTTGACCTTGGGGTCTAGGATTATCTTGCTTCCATGAGTTTAGACTCCTACTAGGTGAACTCCACGAAAAACCTGGATGTCTTTGACCCATAGCATTATAGTTGTTCTCGCCATGGTAGTTTCCTCAATTAAAGTTCCCCACAACGTTGACTTCCTCAGCTGATGCTTGACACTCATGTGTAGGGTGTCCCATTCTACAAAAGTCACATGCTGCTTGTGGCTCACTCTGTACCTTGGCCAATGTCAGCTTTCTTATCTCCTTGGCCATGGTGTCTAGCTGGGCTTTCATGGATGTGTTAGAGTCCACCTGGTGAACCCTAACTGATTTTATCCTGTCATTACTCCCAACAGGCCACTGATTAGCATCCTCAGATAATTCATCAAGGATTAAGACAACCTACTCGGGAGTTTTCTTCATTATTGGACCTCCACATGTAGTATTCAGAGTTTATCGTGAGGAAGGTATCAGTCCATCCCAAAAATCCTGGAGTTGCATTCACAAATCAATTCCATTGTGCTGACACTTTTTGAATATCTCCTTGAATCTTTCCCAAGCTTCGAAGACCGTTTCTGTTTCCTTCTAGTAGAAATTGTGGAATTCCCTTCTAAACTTCCATGTTTTTGCAGCTGAGAAGTACTTGTCAAGAAATTTTGTTGTCATATCCTCCCATGTCCTGATCGAACCTGTGGGTAAGCTACGAAGCCAGTGCTTCACATCACCTTTCAATGAAAAGGGGAATGCCCTTAAGTAGACTGCATCGTTTGATACTCCATTGTATTGGAAGGTGTTTATGATCTCTTCAAAGTCCATCAAGTGAGTATTAGGATCTTTGTTCACATTCCCTTTGAAAATACAGTTGTTTGGGATAGTTTGAAGCAAGCTTTGCTTTAATTCGAATTTTTTTTATTCTATGGGTGGAGGTCTGACACTTGACAGTCCTTGATTGTAGACTGGCCTAGCATAATCATCCAATGATCTTCCAGGCCTGGGTGTTGCATTCTCGAACTGGTCTTCAACAAAAGGTCGGGTTAGATTGAATATTTGACCCCCATTATGTTCGACAGTCTCATCAGCAATTCTCCGTGCAGCTTCTTGTTGTGTTGCCTCTCTTGCAACTAAGTCTATTACGTCATTCTCTTCATTTGCCATGGTATCTTGAGTCAAAGTTTGACCTAAGAAATTTTCTATTAATTCTCTTTCTTTTCTCAGTTGTCGCATGTGTTTCTCCAACTCTGATTCGTAGGGTATCACTTCCCTTGAAGAGGATCGAGTTATACACCAGAGAAATCAAACTTGTATCCTGCACACAAGTGAGAAAATGTGAATACAAGTAAATTTTGGTTCCTGAATTAGTACTAAAAACTATTTTAAACACTATTGATTGCCAATCCCCGGCAACGGCGCCAAAATTTGACGAGGGCAAAACACAACACAAAATTGATGCTCGCTAACCAAAGCTAGTATAGATTAATTATCGGCTCCATAGGGATTAGATTTAAACAGTGTTCGAATAATCTCCAGTTGATTACTATCCAGAAAAATTAACACCTGAATTGATGACTATTGCTATGATTAACTACCAAAATATAAGCAAATAACAATTGATCACAAGAGACTGCATATGAGCATGAAGAAAGATCAATGAAGGAAGTAAGGGTAATTAACTAGATAGGTACACGATAACTAACTCGGAATCCGATTCTTGAGTTAATTCACTCTATAATATGATTGATTCTCACGAATTCAACCGATAAACATATTACACTTGAAATTAATATTCCTCTTTCGATTAAACATTAATTTCATTATAAAATTAATCCAACTGAAACACGGTAAATAATTACAACAATAAAACGGAAAAGGGTCAAAACTACCCCTGAACTATTGGCTTAGGGCTAAAAATACCCTTCGTCCACCTATCGGTCTAAAAATGCACCTGCCGTCTATTTTTTGGCCCATTTCTACCCTTATGACTAACAGTCAACACCAAATACAAAAACAGTTTATACAAATATCACATGGCATTTTCTCATTGGTTGAATGTAAAACCCTGACTCCAATTAAAAAATCTACCCACATATAAACGTTTTTGGACCCATATCCCAAATCTAATTCTTTTTTTTTGTTAGTTTTTTAATTGTTTTTTGAACCAAGCTCTTAGAATTTCAGCAATGAATTCTTCTTCCTAGTTTCAATTTTTCAGATCAGGAATACTTGACTCCCAGCTCAATAATAAAATCAAATCAGTTTTACGCATCAAGTCGTCAAAGAATTCGAAATCGTAAACCAAATTAGAGCTTGAACATATCAATAATGATGGGTTCGAAGTTCTTTCTCAATTTTCTAATCTCAGTGGCAACTAAGGAATTAGAATCAGTTTAACTACTTGATAGTTAACTTCAATTCACTAACACAATCCCCATATCTGCTCAGGAGCTGAACTTCGAGTTTCACAGTATTAACCAAAAAAAATATTTTTTCAAGTCAACTGGGTCGCTTGAAAAAAAATAATTACAATATTTCTCAAGCAACATATAAAGTTGTAACCAGTTAAATTCACTTTCTATAAGTAATTTTCAATCAAACTTCAAAAATCCTTTTAGGAAATGGGTTTTAGAAGTTTTTCCAACAGTGATAAACGAGAACAGTGAAGTATCTTTTTGGATTTCTTTGTTCTTCTTTTGTTTTAATTATGTCAAGTTAAAACTAAAAAAATTATAGGAATAATCCTTTAGCCTAAACTCTTGATATCAAATGACAGCAATGGGTGAAGTTTTTAGGGTTTGGCTTTGAGTTTGAGTCCGAAAACTTTAACATTTGGGTGAGTTTATTTAAATAGGGTGTGGGTTTTAAATTCGACCAATGAGAAAAAGCCACGTGGTATTTGTATAAACTTTTTATTCATTTAGTGTTGACCGTTAGTCATAAGGGTAGAAATGGGCCAAAAAATAGACGGCAGGTGCATTTTTAGACCGATAGGCTCTTTTGGCTACCTATTTGAATCACGAATTTAAACTAGAGCATAAGATGTGAAGAAATTCAATATTAACCCCCTCTTTCGATTAACTCAATTTATTTTTATGTCTAACCGTATTCCACGTGGAATGCATTCGTTTTAGTTGCCATGTCACGAAACCCACCTCTACAAATCCAACTCAACTTCCAACAGTTTAGCCCTCTTTAAGAAGTCCAACTTTCGCCGTTCTATTTCATTCATCTTCTCTTTCCTTGCCGGAGAATCCTAAATATTTGTTGTTTAGACCGATCTCATACGTTTTAGCAGTCATGAATCCAGAATAGTAAGTTTTTTCTTCTTTTTTATTGCTTCTTAATTTCAAATAGCATCTGCTGTTTTGTTTTTAAAATTCGTGATGATTTCAGTTGTTGTGCTTTTGATGAATTTCTTTTGGATCTGTTTTTCTGCTTTTGTTGAGATTTTTGTTTGTTGTTGTTGTTGTTGTACTGTTATTTTACTTGTCGGTTGAGCGGATATTCTAGATCGGTGAATCATCGTTACGGATCGGAAAAGTAGCTTTGGCAGTTGAGTTATTGTTTTGTTTTGGTTTTTCTCCTTGTGTTATTCCACTGAACATATTCGGCCTTCAATTTAACCAAACGTGCTGTTTTAATCCTTGAACTGAACTTAACGGTGTTAACATCATCATTAGTTTAGAAAAAGGTAAAAAGTAATCTTCTTGAATACTAAGCAAATCTTGCATAGCTACAAAACGGCACTTTGAGAAAGAAAGAAGCCAAAGAAAACGATGGAGATTATAAATAGAAAGAGAGGGAGAAAGGACTAAAAGTTCAAGTAAAAGAAGAATTCCTCATCAGCCAATCCAACATATCTCTATAATTGAACTGTTAGCTACATTCATAATTTTTTCCTTTTCAATTTCCTCCCGTTATAGTCTGAGGATCATAGTAGGAGCGGGTTTTGTTCCCTTACATGGGGAAAGGGGAAGGGGATAGTGAGAATTCAATCCACTCCTATTGCTCCCATTAGATTATAAGCCTTGGTGGTAGTAGAAGAGGGTTCTTTTCATGGAAATTGTGATGTTTGATTGTGGTTCTGAAACCATTGGTGCTTTATGGGCATTATAATTATGGATGTTGATGATACCTGCACTGTGCTATATTATATTCATCTTATGATTTATTTATCTGAACTCATATAGCTTATCTGATGTTGTAATCTTCCATGCAGCGATTATCTTTTCAAGCTTTTGCTTATTGGAGACTCTGGCGTTGGCAAATCATGTCTCCTTCTTAGATTTGCTGTAAGTAATTGCATTATTTCACTAGGTTTGCTTCCCAGTTGAAATGTGATGTGAATACCTTTTCCTTTTGCCTCATCTAAATTTCCTTTTTTACTGGTGCATATCTTATGGGGTTTTGGAATTACTTTTGTTTAATCTTTGCTTGATGATTTAGAAGATCATCAGCCGAGCTTTACTCTAGTATATACATGTGTCTGGCTGTCTGTGTATGCATTTTCTCATTGAATTTTTTAGCTCGCAGATGTTCATCTCATAAGAGATTGAGGAACCTTTTAACTTTTTCTTTTCGATGATCTAATATCACATATAAATGATATGTTGGGAATATATTGGCAGTCCTTCAATCATCTTGCAAGCCATTTGAACAGAAGGGTATCTCTGAGTTCCACTTTGGCCTGAATATCGAGATTGCATTACCTTCAATTGCTGTTGAATGGAATGATTTTTTATGTTGAATTTACTACATCTTATATCCTCATTTTCTGATTTGAATTTGTCATTTTCATAGTTTATATTGCTTGTAAACTACCCAGCATTTTTGTTTTAATGTATAACAATCTTTATAGAAGAAAAATGGGCTTTTCCTTAATTTTTCTGTTCTTTTCTGTTTTCCAGGATGATTCATATCTTGAAAGTTACATTAGCACCATTGGCGTGGACTTCGTAAGTGATCCATCCACTCTGTATAATGTCTTCATAATAAATGGTTGCAGGATATCAGTAACAGTTGCATTCTCTTGTAGAAAATCCGCACAGTGGAACAGGATGGAAAAACCATAAAACTTCAAATTGTAAGTATTTGAACTCCAAGTGCCTTGGTAATTTACGTCATCGAAGGGATTGCAATTAGCCAGAATCATTTAATCCCGTGTTGTTTTCCATAAATTGAGAGACAGAAATTGAGTTAGAACCCGCAATCTACTTGATAGAATCTATAAATAATATGATCCATTCTCGACTTGTTTTAGTTCTTTTAGACGCTAATTTTTCTCTGCCCTGTTACATGCAGTGGGACACCGCTGGTCAAGAACGTTTTAGGACAATCACCAGCAGTTACTATCGTGGGGCTCATGGCATAATTGTGAGAGATACATTCTTTCTCATACTTGTTCATGGATTTCATTTTTTATTTATCAAGGAGATCTTATTCTGATGGCATCTCTTCAGGTGGTTTATGATGTGACTGATCAAGAGAGCTTTAATAATGTCCGGCAATGGTTGAGTGAAATTGATCGATATGCGAGTGATAATGTAAACAAGCTTCTTGTGGGAAACAAGTGTGATCTCACAGCGCAAAAGGTAGTTGCCACTGAAACAGCTCAGGTAAGGAGTCGTCCACTACACCTTTATTCTAGACTCTGTCCCTGAAACTTGGGAGAGGATGCCTCTGTCCGCTAGAGCTTATATTATATCTTAATGGAATGCTTAATATGCAATGCAGGCTTTCGCTGATGAAATTGGTATTCCTTTTATGGAAACAAGTGCAAAAAGTGCGACCAATGTGGAGCAGGCTTTCATGGCCATGGCTGCTTCAATTAAGGACAGGTATCGGAAATCGGACATTCGTAGATATACCTCTGAATCTCTTTGTAAGGATGACTTATTACGATTCTTTGCTTTTGTAGGATGGCCAACCAACCCGCAGCGAACAATGCTCAGCCTCCAAATGTCCAGATCCGTGGACAACCTGTCAACCAAAGGAGTGGCTGCTGCTCAACTTGAAAGGAATTAGCACGATGATACTTCTGATGTGGCATGTAAAATTAGTCCCTCAGTAGTTTGATGTGAAGATACTATATATTTTTCAGCCTTTTGCGAAAAACCCATTCTTTGCAAAGTATTTGATTTTAAGCAATATTTGTACAAAAGCTAGGAATATTGGTGGAATTAATAGTGTTTGCTTTCGTTCTATACTTTGAACCTTCATCTGAATGATTTAATCAATCGTCCAAGTCTTTACTGTCGTAGTTGTCTGATCAGTTTCTCTTTGGGAGCTACTGGTTTTCAGCCCTCGTGTCTACTCTTTGAGGTGGTCAATCACTGGGTTCCACGAGGTGGCATTGGGGTATTGCTAAGTGGAGTGAGGTGTAAAATATGAAATAGAGAGCTGCTTGAGATCGAATTGAGACCTAGGGATGATATAGAAAGAGATCATGGCAGTTGTGAACAATAGGATTAACCTGCCAACAAAATTGCGACCTTATATATTGCGGCAAATGTTCCATCTTTTTGCATAAAGATAGTGTCTTGACCAGTTTGTACAAACCTCGACTGCGCGTTAGTATTTGCATATTTTGCTTTTAAAGTTTGATGTTATCACTTACAAGTTACAACGAAGGACTACAACCATTTTGACAATTTTTAACAGACTTATATATGATACAATTCCATATGTAGTGTAGGGTAGTTTTATATATTAGGATCTTTTACGGAAAGGGCTAGTTAAAACTTGAATTCAAGTATAAGTTAGAAATTGAATACAACTCTGAATGTGTAAGTTGTTTAATTACAACAATACAAAATGTAAGACACATGGATTTCATTCTAATCTTTAAGACTTTACTTGGTATCAAATAAAGTTGTCACCTCAATCACTGATCCCAACTTTAGTATGCTGCTTCTTGTGTTAAAAGTCAAAAATGATACTGACCCCTATACTACGGTTGATGAAACTAGCAACTACATTAGTTTCTTAAAAACCTGAACAAGAATCCACAAGAGGTCCATGTCCAGAAAAAATGCAACTCAGTGGTTATCGCTTGAATTTTGAATTCACTCGGTAGGGGACAGAAGGAAAGTGTGTCATATACAGACAACTTCAGAGATTTTGCTAGACTTACAAGAAAAGTTAGAGAGGATGTCTTCAGCATACATGAAAGAGCACACAACTCTTAAATGTGCTTAATTTTAGATGAAATGGTTACAATTTCAACATAATGTCACAGCATGCAGAGGTTCAGATGTTCAAGCTGAAGCATACCAAAATATTACATGTCCAACATTGGTTCGCCAATTCATGAATCAGCTTTTGGGTTAAGTTAGGCCTAATATCTATTTTCTTAACATTGTCAAAGACAGTTGCAACGAGAATCACAAGAAACCAGATTAACAATATTGGGTGAACAAAACCAAATATTAGACACCTACCAAACAATGCTAGCAAAAGGAACAAAATTGTTTTATCATAACTTCAGATCAGAAACTGATCACTTAACTAAAATAAAAAATGTAAAAGTAACCCTAACGCCTATATGAAGGAAATGGTATTCGTGCATGTCAAAAGTAAAGAAATACTGAGGGCATGAAATCCCACAAGTCATCTAAATTTACACTCTTAGATGAGCTATGAAGGTTTTCAGATAATTCTAATACAGGAACTGCCAAAGACTCCTGGAGATATCCTGCCATCACTGAGCCCACATGATAAATGATGCAAAAAGTGGACTCGAGCTCAGATGGTAGGTTCTGCTTCCTTACTTTGCACCCAAAGAAGGGAACTGTCGAACATCTTCAATGGATGGTGCTGAAACACTGTTGTTACCAACAAAACCATCTCTCCCACGACCACGCCCCCCCCTTCCACGGCCACCTCGGCGATAGTAACTTTCTCCATCAGCAGGCAACAGAAGCTCGTTAATGCTTTTTGTCTGCAAATATTCAAGAAAAATTAGGCTCACTACAGAAGATATAAAAATTTCACAGTTCAAATATATTGCATTCAGCAATTGGTCTACCACTTATATATGGTCGCTGAGAAGTCAACTTATTGAAGATTCAACTAAAGGTCACACTCTATCAGGCTCTTCAAGGATTCACCGAGCTTACTCACCCCAGAAGATATGTTTGATTGCTACTGCCTCTGGCTTTAGGAAAAAGGTTCACCAACCTTAAGGTGCATCCCTTATTAAACTATAGCCAAAATACCCTTACGTGCCCCAGCCATTCCCTTACCCACTAAGGCAAAGAGAATGTTACTAGGAAACTATTGAAAATAGAAGTCAGGGCAACAGAAATAAACCTCGAAACTTGGAAATAACTTTACCAAGAGCCCATAACTATGTAACATCTGGAACAACACAGAAGCACATCATAAACAGCTTACTTAAGGAATCCACTAAATTTGCCACATGACCACCAACACTTTGCAAAAGCTAACAGCAGAAGCAAGACCAAAGAGATGATTTGACCCAGCAATGATAGGACACATGTAATGGACACGTGAACAAATTGGATTATAAAATCCATAGTCCCTAGGGAAGTAAACTGAAAAGCCAGTGCTTGAGTTACTTGATGCAACCTTACTTGCAAGTTGTATCAAGCCAATAAATTCATTAAACAAGTGGATCTAGGATCTGTTCCTAACGCAGGAACCATGATAATATAGCTTTTTATAAAAAACTTTCTGACCAAAATTTGTTAAAGCAATCAGTAATATGAAAATTTATGTGACCTCATTGAAGTTTTACAACAAAAATTCTGCAGGTAACAAGTTCGATATGAACATTTGACCTTCTCTTACTTTTATTGACCCATATATCGAGCCCTATTTCTTTTTTAAGGTGGAGGGAGAGCCTTCCTCCCTCGCCCTTACTATTGCATCCACCCGCATAGATGGGCATGTAGAAAACTTCCCTCCCTCACCTTTGTATCATACTCCGTACATCAATGTGAAGGGAGCAAGAAGGTATGTGGAATAGGTTGACAAATGAAGATGCCAGACCACAAATAGCAGTATAACTATCAGATAACGCAGACATCCTAAAAGATAAAATATACAACAAAACATGTAGTCAGCTTCTGAGATACCAAAATAGATGTTTCACAGTACTAAAGAACCTAAAGTACCTTCTTGGCCTTTTCCACTACCTCCTTACGCTTGTCTTTCTCGGAACCCTGTCAATATTTTCAAGCACAATTAACTTACTAATAGAGAATAATCGAGTACTTAATAGCCAACACTATAGCAACTACAATCAAACCTCTCTATAACAGCCTCGTTTGTTCTGGATATTTTTGGATATTATAGCGAATTGTTGTTATAGAGAACCTATATTATAACAAAACATGACTTTTGGTTCCGAAAAAACTTGGATTTTATGGTGAAGTATTGTTATATAAGGATGCTCTTATGGAGAGGTCTGACTGTATATAGTAGCATATGCCAAGCAACTCACCAATTTAATGAAAACCTCATCATCACTTTTCTTGTTTGACAGAAGTTGCATGGACTCAAACTCTTTGTCCAAATTAACCTTTCTTTCCTCGGCCTTTAGAGCCAACAAACCTTTCCTCTTCTCTTCCAATAACTTCTCATACTCTTCTAGGGTCATTTCCTACATATCAAGCAAGTAAGATAATATACTTAAGCAAATATGAACACTTACAAGTACAAGATAATATAATATGCAAATAACAAATCCATAAGCAATATGAACAAATACCAGGCAACCTAATCCCCTGCAATAGATGAAGGTTAAAATGCAGTAGTCCACCAGATTTCACATATCAAATTTAAAGCTGTTTCAGTTAAACAGCTGCATGTAATGTCCATGACAGGATGATATCATTCACCATAAAAGAACTAGCAAGTTTCTTTCTTAAAAAGAACTAGCAAGTAACCAAGATAAAGATAACGCACGGAGAGAAATTAATTTGTAACAGCAGAAGCAGACATGTTAACAAGTGGAAACAGCACAGAAAAAAAAAAAAAAAGATAGTTACCTTCTCCTCAGGTTCCTTCTCTTGTGGCTCAGCTGCAGGAGAGTCCTTGCTGGCATCTTCAGCATCTGCCTGCCCAGCTTGTTTCTCGGTATCAACAATCTTCTCTCCCTCGTTAACAGGCTCTTCTTTCTCCCTGAACACGGATAGAATACAAAACTTATACAACTACAAGAAACAATAAACATGATGAATAAAGAAAGAAATTGAGATGAAAATGTTCACGGTGCAAACTCATCAGCGGGAGTTCCCCAATTCCCACGTCCAGCACCCTCTCGTTTAAATTCATTCCTATACAACAAGAATATGGGTGCAATTACACTTACTGCATTCAAGCAATCAAGTCATACCAGCTAAATAAGCAGCTAAGCACATTGCAACCAGTTGATCCCCCAGAAAAAATTGTGGAATGTGCGTAGGTCATTTCAGAAGTTCCTTTAAATAACTTACCCACGTCCAGTTCCACTTCGTCGCTCAAACGCTCTCCTGGGGCGTTCACCATCTGCAGCGTCACCATTGCTGAAACCACCACGGCGGCCACCGCGGAACTCCCCACGAGGTCCTCCGTATCCAACTCTCCTTTCGGAGTGCTTCCCTGACTCTCCATCTTCTGAAGCTTTGTACCCTCCAGAGAACCCATTACTGCTGCCAAAAGTATTCTCACCATCAGCAGGATATTGGTTAAACCCACGGCCACGACCGCGGCCACCAAATCCTCCGCGTGGACCCCCACGGCCTCCTCCACGCTGGCCATCGTTCCTGGCTTCCCTCACTGCTCAATAAACATCAGAAAAATAAGAAACCAGGAGAATCTCAACTGGACGACTCATGAGTTGTGAATGTGGAGTATAACAGAAGAACAAAACGTCTGCATTGTTTTCAATGCTTCCATACAAATTAAAGAGAGAAGGTCAGCAAGAAACATCAGGCTCATGTGACTGTACCGGGTGGGCATGTGTGTGAGAGGGAGAGAGAGGGAGAGAGAGAAAGAGAAGGGGAAACATTAAGACCATAAGAATGGACATTTCTCTTATTCAAGTACAACTAAAATACCAGTCAAACAATTATTCATTAATAATCAACTAGTTGAACATTCTCCTTTACGGTTACTAATAAGCTACCATACCCAGCTAAATAACAGACAAATCGTGCATAAAACTTGAAGAAACTATCATTTATCACATATGACCTAAAAATATCACCATGGTAAAGAGATATAAACTGTC